CTCCACTGAGTTCGCCTGTTAGTTCTAACAGTTGTTTGGATGAGTCTGTATAATTTTCTACATAGAAGATCATCTCTCCTCTCCCCTCCCCTCTCCTCCCTTCTCCTTCCCTCCCCTCCCCTCCCCTTGCCTTTCCCCAGCATAGAAACACATCCCTGGGCTCCTTGGGAGAAGGATTCACAGACACCCCTCAGATAGTAAATGTTTGATGAAGGACAAACAGCTGGATACCTTTATCAAAGGGTGAAATCATGATGAGCAGGAATTGATCTAAAGCAGCGGTTCTCAACCTGTGGGTCGCGACCCCTTTGGGGGTCGAACAACCCGTTCACAGGGGTCGCCTAAGACCATCGGAAAACACATATATAATTACATATTGTTTTTGAGATTAATCACTATGCTTTAATTATGTTCAATTTGTAACAATGAAATTGGGGGTCACCACAACATGAGGAACTGTATTAAAGGGTCACAGCATTAGGAAGGTTGAGAACCACTGATCTAAAATCAAGGTAGTACAAAAAGGAGAATGTCTTATTACCTGCCTGTGCCCACCTTCTGATCCCCGACATCTCCTTAAAAGCTGCAGTCTCCACAAAACGTGCAACTCACTCTGAGTCTCTCTGCATTGGCGCTAACATCATCTTCCGAGTCCCCTTCACCAGCCAACACAGGTCAAAACGTCTTCCACAAAAATAAACAGAAGAAGGAGGGCCCAGGGCCATGGCATGACTCCATCTACTCCGCCTGTTGCAGAATTCTCTCGGCTCAGGGCAAAAGGCAGCTGTTGGCTAAGAGGGTCACCATTACGTTATGTGAACAAATAAAGCCCACTGGGAAAGAGTGCTGCTCTCAGTGGCTGAAGCATGGGAGCGCCCAGAGTGCGGGGAACACATGCAGTAAGGAGACTGTAATGGACTTCATGATGCTTAGAGGACGTGATTTCAAAGGCAACAGAGCTTTAATTTAGAGGCAAATCGGTGCTCCTTGAGTCAGCCTTAAACACACCATGGGTGTCTAATCTGTCAGAGTGCGATTTAAAGAAAGGCTCTCCATCCCCAGCTGGTGTGGTTCAGTGGTTTAGTGTTGACCTGTGAACCAGGAGGTCATGGATCGATTCCCAGCCTGGATTGCAGGTTCGATCCCCAGTAGGGGGCATGCAGGAGGCAGCTGATTGATGATTCTCTCATTATTGGTGTTTCTAACTCTCCCTCTCCCTTCCTTGCCGGGAGCCGGTCCATCCTTGCTGTTTCAAGGGACCTGGCATATATGGCATACTGTTCTTAATATGTTTGCTCACCTTCTTGGCACTATGTGTTTTAACCAAGGTCTCCTCTCTGAGAAAGGTTGTTTCCCCAGGTAGGGATTTTCCCCTGAAGTTAGGGAGGGAATAAAACCCCTCAACTAAGTGCCAGGTGGGTAATTAATCACTTTAACTACGAACAATCATGCTTAAGCTACATAATCTTTACTCCCTGGAATGGAGATGAGAAACGCCCTAACCTTTGTAATAGAGATTGATAGGATTGAATCAACTGGTATAAATACAGATGTAACAAGACAGCAAGAGACAGAACTTAGAAGACAGAACCTACACACAGAACCTAGACACAGAACGTAGACACAGAACATAGACACAGAACCTAGAGACAGAAGAACTTCGCTGGAGAGAACATGGCAAAAGATCCTGGACAGAAACTGGAGACAGATCCTAGAGACAGAACCTAGCGAGAGAACCTGGCTGAAGATCCTAGAGACAGAACCTGGCTACAGAACCTGGATAGAACATGGCAAGAGAACCTGACTAGAACCTGGTGACTGAACCTGGCTGGAGAACCAAACCAGAACTTGGCTGGAGATCCTAACCAGAACTTCGCTGGAGATCCAGACCAGAACTTGGCTGGAGATCCTGGCTGGAGATCCTGGCTAGGCTGCTGATCAACTGAACGCTGTCTCCGTGTCATTCCTTCTTCGCCGACTCCGTCCACACCTTTGGGGACCCCTGGACCTGCTGGGGTTGGACCCCAGCACTTCCTCTCTCTGAAACCAATAAAAAGAAAGAAAGAAAGAAAGAAAGAAAGAAAGAAAGAAAGAAAGAAAGAAGAAGGAAGGAAGGAAGGAAGGAAGGAAGGAAGGAAGAAAGGAAGAAAGAAAGAAAGAAAGAAAGAAAGAAAGAAAGAAAGAAAGAAAGAAAGAAAGAAAGAAAACAAAAGCTCTCCCACATACGCAGTGAGCACCCATGGAAGATTTATCTCACTCACTAATGAGAGAACCAGCAATATGATTGAGTTGGTACAAAGAGCACTTGGGGAGCTGGGTAGTTAGGAGCAGGGAAAGGAAAGATGAAATAAGATTGCTAAGTTACATAGAAAATTTGTTAATGTCCTCCAGGCAACACCACCATGAGGTTTGCAGTTCTCTTTTCTAGGATCGGGAATCATTTGCATACCTTCTGAACAGAAACCCACATGTGCACACGTAACTCCATGGTTATGGCACTGCTCAGTAAATAATGTGTCCAACATAGATGTGTTTTGTAAAGAACTAAATAACCCTCATGTGGGCCTATTAGACCCTGCCCCAGTGTGACATGGAAGGGATAACAGCCACCCTTTTGCTTTATTTACAAGGCTTTTCAAAATAATGTTTCTTAGCAGAATATTAGAAAAGTGGAAATGAAATTACCATCATTTGCAAATGATATTATATATACATGGATAATCCAAGAGAGTCACAGAAGCCTTTAGAGCTGGTTATAGGCTGACCTGGACCCCCAATTGATGTTTTGGGATTGTAACCCCAGGACCTCAGAAAGTAGCTGTATATGGAGTTCTGCCTTTACAGAGGTGGTGGACCCTAGTCCACTGTGACTGTGTCCTGCAGGAAGAGGTGATCTGGACACAGACATGTACAGAGAACAACCACTTGGGGAAGACGGCTGTCTACGTGCTCAGGAGAAACCAACCCTGCAGACACTGATCTCAGACTTCCAGCCTCTGGACTGTGAGGCAGTGAATGTCTGTGGTGTGAGTCCCCCAGTGTGTGGCACTTTGTTACACAGCAGCCTTAGCTGACTGATACTCAGGGCCAGCATGTCTGACTGTGGAGAGAGCCCCAGAGGCAGTGGGCTGGGATGTATCCACACTCCATTGCCCTTCACCTCCTCATGTGAGCCTGCATCCCTCAGGAGCAGGGGGCCTTCCCTGCCATCGCCCGCACCAGCAGCTGTGTCCCCCAGGGCCTGTTCCCTAAGTCACAGGCAGGCATGTCAGGCCACCTGCTCCCTGAGCAAGGAATTCAACTGTACAAAATGTACAAATGTAAAATGCACACATGTAAAATGTTACAGTGGACTGTTCACATTTGGAAGAAAATGCACAGAACATCAGACAGCGACTTTAACAAGAAACATGCATGATCTACGCACAGGAGGCTGGAGGTGCTCAGTGAGGTGTGATGTCTCCCGACTAAATAGTAAATTCAACCCAACACAATAAAGTGAGAGAATTTTTTACTTGAAAAGTTGATTCTAAAATTTCTACTGGAAGTACAAATAGGTAACAATGCCAAGACCAATCAGGGGTGGGGACTTCTGTCCATAGAAGCCAGGTCTGGGAGCACAGTTCCTTTTCCACCTGAGGCTGAGTTTCCCTGCCTGAGCGGAGAGAACAAAGCAGAGCAGAGCTGTCTAATGCAGAGGGGCCTGGCTCCAGGGCTGCCCCACAGCCATGCTGTATCGTAGTTGAGCTGTTTTGCACTGAATAGTTTTTCTTCTTCACCACACCCCAAGTTGGGGAGCCAACAACTATCAGTTGTCAGCACATAGTCAACATTCCGCCTCTTCCTGAGGCTGGAAGCACTAGGGGAATCATGAGACAGCTGTGACTGACTGTCAGAATCCAGGAAAGTCAGCATTTCCCCAAGGGCCACTCTGATGGAAAAATGACTCTTGGCAGAGGGTCCACAGAGACGTTCCCACCCGCAGGAGCAGAGTTAGGGCCACCTGGTCCTCAGAGCACCTAGGTACTATTTTTAAGAAAAGTGGTGTTTTTATTAAGAAAGTTATCGTTTCCTACAACCTCAGGCCTCAGTGATAGATATAAGGAGGCCCTGGGATGGCCCCGAGGTCTAGGCCTGTGGTCAGCAAACTGCGGCTTGAGGGCCACATGCGGCTCTTTGGCCCCTTGAGTGTGGCTCTTCCTAAGCCTTAGGAGTACCCTAATTAAGTTAATAACAATGTACCTACTTATATAGTTTAGGTTTAAAAAATTTGGCTCTTAAAAGAAATTTCAATCGTTGTACTGTTGATATTTGGCTCTGTTGACTAATGAGTTTGCCAACCATTGGTCTAGGCACCTCTCTCCATCGTCAGAGCAAGCAGGTCTTTGTGTTACCTGCTTATCATCCTTTTGAACCTGTCCTGGCAAAGGCATGTGTATAATGCTAAGTAACAAACTAAAGGAATATGAAAAACTCCACCAACATATTACAAATTCTGTACAAACCTGTAATGTGTATATATTCTCACAAGTGCTCCAAAGGTGGAGATTATAATAGAAATGTTTTATGTAAAAAAGCAGGGGCTCTGAAACTTAAGATTCTTGTCTGAGACCACACAGAAAGTGGAAGGCCCATAACTAAGAGTTAATAGAGCTCCTGGCCCACGGCCCTGGGGACACTGAGTAATTCGAGGAATCAGGAAGGGAAGTTCAGGTGCATGTGGACCCTGTCGATCTTCATAGTTGACCCACGGGAGGGTCAAGGCTGCCATAGTAATATATAGAAATGTTTAAAAATGCTTTAAAAATGCCTAAAAAATATTAAGAAGGTTTTAAAATGTTAAAATTAACTTTCCTTGAAACTTAAAGTGTGATATTAAGGACATATTCCCCACTGCCCTGAAGCATGTGTACCTCACAGATAAGGATTTGAACTTCAGTAAATAACTCAGAGTGACTTGTCAAGATAACCACTTGAGTGAATGATGTACTCTCCCTAGATAACCACATGTAGCCCCTCTCCCTGTTTGAGATAAACATGTGTGCATTGACCTAATTCATTGATAGCCACCTAGACTGCTGCAAATGGGATGCAGGCTTTAAAAATGGGGATCCTGACCAGCCCAGTGCCCGCCTGTCGAGATAGCCACAAAGGCACGTCCTCTTGTCAGTCCAGCAAGTAATGCTGCTCCACGTTCCTCTTCCTGCCAGATGACAGAAGAACGGCCAACACCTCCCGATTGAGACTCGACCGAGCTCTTGTGTGAGCAACGCCAGCGCCCTGCATCCAGACCAGACAAGCCCAGCTGCTGGACCCCAGAGGACAGCACCACCAGGATCCCCAGTAAGCCTGTACCGCAGCACCAGAAATTGTGTGAGTAATAAAGTGCTGTGTGATTTGCAACTGCACATGTTTCACGTGTTGTAATTCCTCCAGCAGCTAATTGAATTATTTTGCGTACGCTTAAAATTTAAATTAAAGCTTCTGGTCTTTTTGGTCCTAAGCCTGCCCCTTGGTCCTGCTTGCGTAGAGCAGCCTCTTCGCTAGCAACTACTTGAATGTCCCACACCTGCACGGTTAAAGTTTATCTCGAGGAACGGCTTAGATAAATACCCCAGATCCTTTCCCAGGATCTACTTGGGACAATGGCCATCGGCACTATTGTTGGATGCCACTCAGCTACTCCGCCAGGTGGGAGTCACCACACAGGCTTGTAGTCAGTGCGTCTGTCTCTCCATGTCTGAACCAGCCCCAGAGGCATCCCGAGAAGGCACATCCCAGTGGACACCTGGTGGGAGGGCTTGTCTTCCTGCTCCGTGCCTTGTTAGGGGACCACAGGCTGCCCCTTCACGCTCCCAGGGGACTTTAGTCCATTTGAGCGCTGCATTGAAGCGAACTTCCATGTTATAAAACCATGAATTATTAAAAAGCACTCAGGAATTTTGTGTTCCATTTGTACAAATCAATGAGCAGAGGGCTACATCCAACCTTTGCTTTGCTACTTATGTTTATAAAGGCAATGCAAGCCAACAATATCAAACATACACAGAGAGCAATCCTAGTCACGCCAGCAGTAAATCTAAAAATGGCCTTTGTAAATCTATATGAAGCAAAGGACTAGTCAGTTGGTAGACAGATAGATTTTCTTTTTAATTTTTACGGATGTTTTCAAAGGTACACAAGAGTACAAAGACTCACGGAGCCCATCCCCCACATCTAGACGGCGCGCCATGTGGCACCTGTTCTTCCTGTGTTAACTGTTCTTAGAACCACAATATGTTCAGATAAATGAACTGAAGAGCCGAATAAATGCAAAGATTATGCAAATGTGTGTGGGTACTAAATAGGAATGTTATAAACATGACAATAATTATTCAATAAGTTCTACATTATCAAAATAATTCTAGAATTTAGGCAGACAAAAACAAACACATTAAAATGGCCCAAAGCATTTGAAAGCTGGGCCGGTCTGGTGAGCTCTGTGTTAAACTGTAAAGCCACAGAAAGCACCGTTAGAAAAAGCAGACCTTTCTTATAATTTTAGGGCAGGGAAGGGCTTTCTGAGCCTAACACCAAAAAGCCATTAAGAAAAATATTAACTAATCTGATCTTACAAAAATTTTAAAAATATTCACACATTTATAAATCAAAAAGAATTTAAAGACAAACTACTATAATTATTAGCATGCAAAGTTGGTCAACTTGCCTGGTATGAAATTAGTGTGCATAAATCAACTGTATTTCCATGTGAGAAAAACACAGATAGAAAACAAAATTTACCAAAGACAGAATTTATCTGGGAATCAATCCAACAGAAGATGTATAGAACTTTTACACAGAAATCTGCAAAGTGCCATTGAGAGAAATTGAAAGTTTCAAAGATAAACAAGACTGCCTCTGTAACGTGGGAGTGAGAGACATTTTCAAAGTTCTAAATGAATGGGAAGCTTTTGGTGCGTTCTCCCCAAATCATCTGTAAACTCCACAGAGCCCCAGTTAAACCCCAGCAGATAGCACCTGCAGAAATTCACGTGGTGACTCAAAACTCAGATGCGTCCCAGATAATCGGGGGTGGGGGGTGGGAGGGAGAGTGAAGCTTATTATAAAACAGTGTATTAGGAAACTACAGTGACTGAGCAAGTGTGATTTGCACAAGGACAGACAAACTGCCCGGTGCTTCAGAATACGGTCCAGAAGTAGACACACACAGCGCTGGGGTGGGGAAAGGGCTTTGTTTCATAAACAGCCGAGGTCTTATCTGTGGCGATAAAGGCATGTTGTGCACTTGAGCAAACTGTCTTCTAGAAAAAGCTGTGCTCACTCACAACCTATTAAATTCCTGACCACCTCCCTGTCTGGTCAGCTGTTAACTCTTTCCTAACCTGGTTGTTCTGGTTTTGGGAGGTTTCCGTGTCTTCATGGAGCACTTGGGCTGCTTTTTTTACAATTGCCTCTTCGTGTCCACTGGGATGGTCACCGCTTCTCTTGGTGACTTGTCGTATACTTTGTAACCTCTCTACGTATTAAAGATGTGTTTCTTTTTTATTATTATTATTGTCTAAAGTTTTACATATGTCTCCTTTTCCCCCAATTGACCCATCCCCCAGCCATTCCCACCTCCCTCCACCCCACCCCCCACCCCCACCCCGGGCAAGTCCCCATAAAGATGTATTTCTTCCTCTGGTGCATTTTGAAGTGCTGATGCTGGTGGCAGGTAGCGTGGGTGCTGGGTGCTTAGATGCTGCGTCAGGTGGCTCCAAGGGGCAGCTTCTACAGGCCCAGCTCCGCAGTGACCAGTGGACGTAGGGACATGCAACCCAGCCCCTGGGCCCGATTCAGGTGCCTCCGAAGGGCCACCTGCCTCATGCCTCTCTGTGGGCCCGACTGGGGCCTTTGTGGAGACCGCATGCCCCGTGTGGAGACTGCCTCTCTCCTCACCTGCCTCCTCGGGGTGGGTCCCCACAGCCCCCGGAGCAAACCTGCTGCCTGCTCACCTCCACCTCGGAGACTGCACCTGGGAGAGCCCTGCCACAGCGCTTCAAGCATAAAGAAGCCCTTACGCTGTCAATCCTGTTCATCTGCTTTACGGGTTTTGCATCTGTGAAATCCTTAGAAGGCTTTCCTGCGTTCCCGCAGTGACGTGAATATTAAATATTTACACTTGGAGCAATATGGCACCTGGCGTGTAATGTAGAGAATCGAACTCCATTGCTTTCCCCAAGGCGCTGGCAGGCGCAGTGCCGCTTATTGAACAATCAATCCCCGTGCCACTGATGTGAAATATCACCTTAATAACAGAGTAAATCAGTAAGGGATTTGGATTTGCTCCTGGCTTCCTGGTACACTAGGCTGGCGTCCCACAGCCTCTGCGCCTCTGCGCCTCCCCACCAGGCCCAGGCCCTGGCTCCTCCCAGGGAACGGCCACCATGTGTTTTATTTGTAAAGTCGACAGTCCTCCCTGCTCACATCTGTGGGCCCCAGCCCAGCCCGGCCACACCATCTAAGTTAGTCCCTTGACGTCTGTCTGCTGATAGTGATAGCGACATGTCCCAGGACCCCAGCACAGCGCGTGGGCACAGAGGAACGCTCAGGGCCTGTCCCTTAACCAGGCGGGAAGAATTCTGACTCCTGAGCGGTCCCGCCAGCCCACACTGTCTCCCAGGCAGATACCTGTGTCGGGACAGATGGCAGACAAATGTCCTCTCTCCCACGGCTGCTCAGTGCAGACCCCTCGTCCACTCTGCGTTCAGGTTAAGCGAATCCTGTTCAGACTTTGGACCCCACCGACCTTAGGAGGGCCCAACGGTGTTGCCCCAGTGACTCGGGCCAGTCACTGCCCAGTCCTGTCTCCCTCACGATGCAGGGAAGACTGGTGGGTGGGGGGGAGGCCTCCCTCACCCAGCCACCCCCTCCAGGCAGACACCGGCCTCCTCAGCACTGCTCACCTGCGGGACCTGGAATTCATTATTCCGGGTGCACTGAGGCTGCTGCCAATCTGTTGCTGTCGGTATTGTCTCTGCGGTGTGGTTTGCTCTTGGACCATCTTCTAGGAGGCTTCTCAAGTGTGAGATGGTGAACGTGAGTGTTGGCCATCCATGGGATATCCTGGTGGCCCGGGGGGGCCAGGCTGTGCCTCCTCAGCCTTTGCTCTTGACAGAGGAGGGATAGGGGAGAGGGTAGACCCAACAGTGCAGCTGGCCCCCACAGTGGGTCTGGGGCCCCGTGTGAGGCCCTCTCCGCCTGCTCATGGGCCCTGCTCCCTCCTGTGCATCCACCGGAGTCTGAGCAGTGAACGGCCCTGCCTCTGTCAGGAGGTCTGTGTGGATCAACATGGAATAAGGGGATGTATGGACTCTGGAGGAGCCACTGGAGATGAAAACACAGGAGATGAAAACACTGGAGATGAAAATTCCACCAGAGATGAAAACACATCCCTCTCCCCAATCCACCCCCCACCCCAAGAGTTGTGAGGGTCCCCTGCCCCCCCATGTGAGTTTTGCATCTGTGAAATCCTTAGAAGGTTTCACAGATGTCACTCTCCTTTCTCTGTCTGTGGCCACAGCCCTCACTTTCGAGGCAGAATCCAAAATAACCGCAGGTGAGAATGAGACCCACAGGTGGAGTAATTTCCCCAGATCCTCCCCTTGCTCTGCACCTTAGACTCGGCTGGCCCACAGGAATCCAGAGGGGCTGGGAACGTGGGCTTGGGGGGCCCTGGGGCCATTCTCCAGGAGAGCTCTGCTTGCTCTCGGAGGCATGGTTAAGCCTTGTTTTGTGAGACATGGATCCAGGCAGAGATTACAAATAATAACACAACAATGAGGTGACCGGATAAAAAGGGTGGGGGGAGGTGGCTGAGGATCCATCTACCACAGATGAAAGAGAGCAGGGGCAGGGGCCCCCCCAAGGCCCCCAGGGCAGACGGAGGTGGCCAGTGGTCGGTTTTGGACCCGCTCACCTCCCTGGTCACAGGAAACTCCTTTCCTTGGGATAAAAGTGCGACCCGCCTGCCTAGCAGGGCTGAGCGAGGATCCGAGACAAAAGCTGTTTTGCGTCAGAATATCGATCACATAACTCCTTTTAAACCCTCTACTGTGAGATAATTTCAGACTTAAAGAAAAATGGCAAAAAGTAACCCAGAGTCCCCGTGTGCCTCTCCCCAATCCACCCTCCGCCCCCTCCAATGTTGACATCTGGGATCGCCATGGCGCAATGATCAAAACTGAGAAATTCACATCAGCCCGATGGTATTACCTAAATGACGAACGCTGTTTGGATTTCATGTTTTCCACAAATGTCCTGTTCCCGCTCCAGGGTCTCACGTTGCACGGAGCGGCTCTGCATGACTTCCTGTAGAACGCCTCCAAGAACTGGTTTATTTTCTCAGGGAGTCTTTCGAAGGACTTCTCACCACCTCATGAGAAAGAAGTGAGGGGCGTGGGTGTCCTTAGGGGACAACCAGTTACACAATAAGGCAAATATCCCCGCGCATATGCCGAGGGGTGTCTGACCCAGCTTTTGTAACTAGCTAGGGGACGTCTGGAATCTGACAGCCACAAGGCAGCCTCAGGTCGCTGCCGTCCGTGGGGACACAGGGAAGAGCCTGGTTTTTCTCCTGGCGGGTACAGACAGCTGCCTGCTCAGCCATGGGTCACATAACACAGTCCTTTGGAAAGGGTCCTAGAACTGCCCCGAGCTCAAGAAGGACGACAAATAAAATCTGGAGCCCATTAGGATACACGGATGCGTCGGAGGCCAAGTTTGACTGCCCGGTCCATCGCTGAAACGGTAAACCATCTGTGGGAAGGCTCGGGCTCTCTGGGGTTGCCAAAGACACCAGGCGGCTTCCAAACATTCGGGGACAACTGGAAAGTCTGTCTACCCTCAGCGTCACCACGCGAAACTTCAAAGCAGAGGCTGCCAGCCCGAGGCTTCCCACTTTCAGGATGGCCGGTCAGGTGGACCAAGCCCATGGCCAGGTGCCTGCTGAGCGTGGTTGAGGAGTCAAAATTCCACCGGAGATGAAAACACAGCCCTGGTCTCAGAGCCTTTGCCCTGAGAGCCGGCGGTTTATGACCTGGAAAAGCTGTACCTACGAACTCCCAAGGGCTCAGCCGGTCCAGGCTCAGAGAAGTCAGGCAGGAAACACAAAGGAGATGAAATAGAGGAGGCTCGGTTCAGTTTCCCATCTTGCTGGGCTGTGGGTGGACACACCTGTCCCCTCTGTGCTTCCATCCCCTCACCAGGTGGCCCGTCCCCAGCACAGCGGGCTTCCCTCCGTGCACCCTTCCGGCTGCCTGCCCCCTGCCCAGATGCCCCGGCCCATCTCTGCTGCCCGAAGACCTGCTGCTTGTCCTTCCAGACCCAGCACCCTTGCCGCCCCCCGCCCATGTGTCCTGCACTAAGGGGTGCCCTCCCAGCTTGTTGCTGGGTCTCTGAAAGCTCTTGTGCATTTCAGAGAAATTCTGTGTCTGCCTAGGGGTCCCCATCCAGCTCGTGTTTGATGCTTGTGTCCCAGACCTGAGCTCAGGGACCCAGTGGGTGTCCCTGGAAGCTGGTTGGATGGAGGGGCAAGGGGAGCAGAGGAGCATGCTGTTCCCCTGGGGAATGGCACTAGTAGGTAGGATGACTCGTTGCTACATCTGAGGAGCTCAGAGCAAAACTTCAGTTAACTGTGGGAGAAGGAAGATGGAGCCCTCAGCACTCAGAGCCCTTCCCCACAGACCTCGGAAACGCCCAGACCAGCTGCCGTGCCAGGAAGCAGAGCCCTGAAAAGGGAAAATGCCCCAGAGAAACGAAATGCCGCGTCTACAGATGCCTCTTCAACAGTTAGGGACAAATCCTTAAACACCGGAGGTGCCCGGAGCACCCACGTGGGCCCAGGGCTGAAGGCCAAGACTGAGCTCAACGCTGAGCTGATGCTCCTCAAGGACAGAGGACCCTCGGAGACTCGAGCTGCATGGGAAACATCCCAGGAGTGATTTCAGTGGTGGCAGCGGGATCGTTCTTGTCAGATACTCGATGTAGCTCGGTATCTTCAAAGCTTGACGCTGTGGTGCAAACATCGGTTCCACGCCGGCCACAGCGATTGTTGGGGGCCCGATCCGTCCCTGCTGCTGCTTCCAATGCTCCGGACCTGGGCGAACGGAACAGGACCCAGGACCTGCCCTCCAGCACGAAGGTTTCTGAGCGCCATCGGCAGGTCCCTGTGCAGCTGTGGGGCCGACAGGCTCAGGGAGGCCTTCTCTGTCGCAATCTCCGTCAGAGTCCATGGGCACCTGTGGGGAAGAGTGGGGCGAGACCTAAAAATGCAAACTTGCCCTGAGGTTCCCAGAAATGGAGACCCAGGAGGCCATCGTGGGGACTCACTCTTGCTGCTTTGTCATGCCCACCCCTGCGGGCCGGAGACACCATCTTCTTTGGATGACAAACAGAATCTGTGGGTCAGGCCTGAATGATCTCTTGAGCCTCCGAGGCCACAACAGGCAGCAGCAGCAAGACTGGCCTGCCAGCCCTGCGGGGGGGGGGGGGGGGGGGCAGCCGAGGGTCGTGCCCAGGTGACAGCCCATGAGACCCTCCACACAGGCCACGCTGGACCTTCCCGAGAAGAGAGGATGGGCCAGAGCTGCTGCGGAGCCCCGCTTGCTGGGGAGCTGTGCCCAGGCCAGACTCAGGCGAGACAGCCAGCTCCCTGCTCGGCTGCAAGGAGTCGCCAACACCTCCAGTTTGGCGCTGATTAGCAACAGTGTGTTTAATAGAAATTTCAAGGTTCATTACGGAATGTGGATTAATTAAATTGAGAGGGAAGATAATGAAAAATATTCCCACTGGACACATAAAAGAGCAGCCCTGCTGTGGCAGGAGGAGTGGATGGAAATGTGTGGATCTACTAGACCCCCCACGTTTGCCACTTGGAAATGCACGCAGTGTTCCTGCCATTTCCTCTAGAGCAGCGGTTCTCAACCTGTGGGACACCAACCTGTGGGTTGCGACCCCTTTGGGGGTCAAACGACCCTTTCACAGGGGTCGCCTAAGACCATTGGAAAACACATATATAATTACATATTGTTTTTGTGATTAATCACTATGCTTTCATTATGTTCAATTTGTAACAATGAAAATACATCCTGCATATCAGATATTTACATTACGATCCATAACAGTAGCAAAATTACAGTTATGAAGTAGCAACGAAAATAATTTTATGGTTGGGGTCACCACAACATGAGGAACTGTATTAAAGGGTCGCGGCATTAGGAAGGTTGAGAACCACTGCTCTAGAGCAAAGATGGTAGCAGAGTCCCCTGGGCCCAGGACAGCCGCGGGGACACACGGCCTCCCTCATGTTCTCCTTCAGCATTCCGGCTGAGTCAGGCTGCCCCCGCCCCAGGCCTAGCATCACAGGAGAGGTCCTTGGCTGGTGTCCCCGGGGACCTTGGAGCTGGCCAATTCCTCATCACTTTCTTTACCAAGGCTCTGGGAGGGAGGGAAGGAAGAGAACTGGGCAGACTCTTTGTTCTGAGCACACTTTGGGGGAGCAGAGCGGCTGGTGACCCCAAAGGTGCTGCTGGTCCTGGATCCTGGAACTGTCCCGAGTCTTCAGGGAATGCTGGCAAAATTGGCTCCGAACTTACTGACCAACCTGTTGGAGCACAAGGAGCTGATTGAGTTAAAATACACACACACCTAAATACTGGGACTTAACTCCCAGTCTCCTGGTGATCGATGGAGCACTCTTTGCCAGCACCACACACACTCCGCCCTGTGCGTTCATTGTTATTCTCACGAGAGGCTGGCCATCAGTGGGCTGTGGGGCCTCGGCTCACTCTCACGGAAGAAGTTGCCCCTCTGGACCTTTTAGGAAGGCCTCCCGAAGGCCCCTGGGGGCCCATTGCCCAGTCTATGGGGGCAGGAAGGTGGGAATATTCTGATGGCCTCAATCAGGACAGAATACGGATTTGGCCTGGGCCAAGGAGTGTGTATGGGAAGCAGCCAATCGATGTGTTTCTCTCACATTGATGTTTCTCTCTCTTTCCTCTGTCCCCCACTTCTTCTCCCCTCCTCTCCACTCTCTCTGAAAAGCAATGGGAAAAATATCCTCAGGTAAAGATTAACAAACAAAACAAGAAAGAAAAAGAAAACTCTGTGGTAACAGGCTTTGCACCTGCTGCTCCTCACACCCCCCTGCTCCTGCTACTTCATCCTGCCAGGCCATCTTCCAGTCAGCAAGTCACAGCCTCACAAGAAATATGAAGAAAGGCAAAAGTGGTTTGGAAATGTCGATATGAAATGCATAATTCAGGGAGTATGCCTCCCCAAGGGACCGCTGATGGACGAGCTGCGATGAAGACGGGGGTCGAGTTTTCACGGTGCGGAAGGAGATGTTAACCCGACCTGCAGCCTCTGCACACTTGGCAGAAGTCCAGGGACACGACCCTGATCGGTCACCCAGATCAGTGACTGGGGCTGTGGAGGAGGATGTGTGGAAAGGCAGACCACAAGGGAGCCAGGCGGCTCCTGCCTTCCAACGGTGCAGACACCCAGATGTTGCCTAGCAACCAAACATGTTTCCTGCCAAAGATGGAAAGATGTGATCAGATGGGGGCATTTGTTTTTTTCTGGGTAGTCAACCAGTTTGAAAGTCATTGGTGTTGTCTGGCTACAGAGTCAGCCCTGGCCCTGGATGCCTCCACCTGCCCATGCTGGACCCCAGGGAACTCCGGGTCTCCTGGGTGGGATGGCACAGTGTGCAGGGAGTAGAAAAGGAGCCCAGACCAGCTTCCAGCCAGCACTTGGGGAGAGTTTCCAGAGAGCTTGGGGAAAACTTACTTAATCGACTCTGTAAATGAGCAGATTGATAACACCTGTATCCAGCCACCTCCCAGGTGGCTGGCAAGTACCCCGGCAAGCGGTTCCAAGCCATAAAGCCCTGCAGAAAGGAGGACCTCTGCTCTCCACTCCTGACTCTGTGGTTTCACAAATGTCAACTCTCCGGGCAGGAGGCAGTGCCTGTCCAGCAGGAGCCAATGAGGACCAAGAATTTTATATATGGGTCAAACTCTACGTTTTCTCTACAACTTGTTTTATTCCATTAAGAACACATGTTGCAGGTCACTCCAAGTCAGTATATGCATATAGCTTCATTTTTACTGCTCTGTGATATTTCATAGTATAGACATGCTCACATTTGTTTTTATTTTGTAATTCAAATACATGCTTTGGTGTGTTTCTCTCCTACCAACAGGGCACATTTCAAAGCGGCACGCACGACCTTTCTGCAGCTGATGGAAGTTTCTTCTACCACACCTTTGACTTTTGTTTCTCCTACTCTCATAGTATGAACAGCTGACATTGATTGATACTGTCCATCTGCCAGGAACTGTTCCAAACTCACTGTTCTAAGACAGGACATAAGGAGGTGGATTGCCACCCAGGTGGAGTTTGGAAGAAATCAAATAGGACCATGGAAAATCACCAGTGGAGTGGGGTGGAGGGAAAGTAAAATGTGCAAGGAGGCAACTGTCACCACTGCTCACTACTTAGCTCAGCAGCAGACTGTTCATACATAGACATTATGTAAACAATGCTTTTTTACTTTAAATTGTGATATATCTACACTTAGAGAATGGTAGGTGATCATCTTCCACAACAGGAGTCACTGATAGCATCTTGTCCAGATACTCCCTACTATCCCACTGTCCTCTTTCTGGAACCAGGGACAGACTACATTTCCCAGCCTCCCTTGCACTTAGGTTGAGACATGTGAGTGGTGTCAGACAATGAAATGTGCTCTCTGTAGGATTTCAATTAAGCCTCCAGGTGCCCTCTGAGACTGGTGCTGCTATTATCCCCATTTTACAGATGAGCAGTCTAAAGCACTAAAGTTAGGCAATGTGCCTGTGCTCACTCAGTGACCCACCCCCAGGTCTGAGCCTGAGATCAGAGGGCACAGATGTCCTTCTGTCTGAACATTCCTAAGCACCTGAGTGTCTCCTGACCCAAAGGCAGACTGCATGCCTGTGCTTCTCTTGCCCAGGAAGAAGCGCCAGAGCTCTCTGGCCACAGCATGAGCCCAGTACTTTTTTAAAATATATTTTTATTGATTTCAGAGAGGAAAGAAGAGGGAGAGAGAGAGAAACATCAATGATGAGAGAGAATCATGGATTGGCTGCCTCCTGCAAGTCCCCCACTGGGGATTGAGCCCACAACCCGGGCATGTGCCCTTGAGCGGTATTGTACCTGGGATCTTTTAGTTCGCAGGCCGACACTCTATCCACTGAGCCAAACCTACTAGGGCCCAGTGGTTTTTCCACTGACCAAGGGCAGAGTGGAGAGGGCCCACGTGTGTTGGTTTCCAGTGCCCCAGGGAGCTGGTCTTTCTCTTCATTCTGGCCTCAGCCATTTCTGGAACTAAGAGCTCCCACCGGGATAGGAAAGTTGTCATTGGAACTGGGCAGAGTCTTCATTTGAACCACCTCAGAGCAATGAAAACAAGTAAATGGAGCAAGCATGCTGTGCCCCTCCCCCCCTTAAAAGACACAGAAAGTGTCTTACCAAGTTTAGAATCTGCCAATTTAACAAGTTTGGAGTTGGTGACTCACATTTTTATGGACTAACTTTGAAACCCTATGATCCCATGATAAAAAAAAAAATTAAACCTCCTCAGCTCTATAAAGATTTTGGCCACTCTACAGGGCTTAGTAAACAGTTTGCTAATTTAGGCATAAATTAATTGCATGTTATTGGCAGAGGCACAATCTAATTCTTTATGGGCCTTAGACCCAGACCTGTGAGTCAGAGTAATTACGCCATCAACACTGGGACCGCTCAGTGCATTATCTGCAGCCTTTGTACCCTAGGCCGGCCTTCCCACCACCTAACACATGTCCACCTGGCTCTGGAAAAGGGAGAGTAGTCTGCAGTCAGGCAGACAGACGGGGTGGAACCCCCCACCCTCCATCTTACCCCACTTGCTGGCTCTGCAGCCTCCAACAGCCCCTGATTCCCCTCACCCAGAGATGCCTCATCAGAACAAGGACAGTACCTCACATGCACCTGCACATTTGTGCACACGCACACATGTGCACATGTGCACGCAGTACACACACGTGCACACTCACACAGCACACACATGTATACATGCACACACACAGGGTGGCAGGGATAGTGGATGGACACAGGAGCACGGAAGCTCACAGACTACATCTTTCCTGCACAGGCGGAAGATAGGAGGCCAAGCCTCCGTGTTGCAGCCCTGGGCCCCCACGCCCAGCTCCTACTTCAGGCCTCAGAGGACATGGGGTGGGGGGGAATGACAGGATACCAGTACCTGCATGGCTCACACTCACAGTCCCAAGACCAGTACAGAATAGGCAACACAGGACGCTGTCCTGGTGGCCTAGGCAGTGGTCGGCAAACTCGTTAGTCAACAGAGCCAAATATCAACAGTACTTCTTCAAAATAGACTCGCCCAGGCCGAAAACCGACTTCTGCGCATGGGCCACGAAGTTTCAATCGCACTGTGTGCACGCCCGCACGTGGCATTTTGTGGAAGAGCCACACTCAAGGGGCCAAAGAGCCGCATGTGGCTCACGAGCTGCAGTTTGCCGACCATGGGTAGGGTGAGGCAAGAACGGGCCAAGGTCACGGTCCAGAGATTCTGCCAGCATGTGGCCCCACACCATCAGGGCAAAGCTGTTGCTCTCCTGGCCTTTGGGGCAAACTTGCTGAGGGTGGGTCGGAGGAGAAGGGACCGGAAGTTAAATCCCCACACTCAGAGAAAAGAGGGATGTGGGCAGACACATTAGTAGTTTGAAGCAAACACAACTGTGAGGCCCAGGGGCCTGTTCTGGGCCCACAAAGGGCGATCTCCTACGCTGGTTCCCATTTGGGAATCTTTTTCACTGTCAGAGAGTCCTTGTGTGGTCACCCCATTCCCACAGTCCACAGTTCACAAGAGATTCTCTCCTTGCATCAGAGGCCCCTGAGGTCTCCGAAGACCACCGAGCAGAGGAGGATGCAGACCCTGCGGGCTCCGGCCAACAGCAGGGTCTCCACAGCAGCGGGAGGCTGCGTCTCTCTCAGGACCTGCAGTTCTGTGCCACACCCCCATCACCGCCACCCAGAGGTATTAGCACAAGGGAGACATGCCCAACCCAGCCAACCAATCCCTTAAGATCACATTCATCTTAGTTAAAACTTACGTAGGTAATAATACTGTATTACATATTTAAAACTTGCTAAGAGTGTAGATCTTAAATGTTCTCATCACAAGAAAAAAATTTATAACTATGTGTGGTGATGGATGCTAACTAGACTTGTGGTCATTTAACAATATAAACAAATATCCAATCATTTTGTTGTACACCTGAAATTAATACAAAGTGATATGCCTGATATACTTCAATAATAAATAAATAAAGATTTTGATTGTTCAAAAGAGTCCACGTTAGGGATGAGCCGTGTTTAATGTGTTCAAATGAGCTTGCAGATTCATACTATTTCTTGATTGGTGCTTGATTGGTGTGGATTTCCCCAGTTTAATTCACACAATGATTTTAAGCAGCTTATAAATCCAGGATTTTCAAAAATAGACCAACATCTCCCCATTTCTCCCACCTCCCTGCCCCTGGTAGCCACCTTATCCTCTCTGCTCCAGTTCGACTTTTCTCAATTCCACATGTGAGATCCTGTAGTACTTTCCTTGTTTTTCTTTTAATATTATTCATATGATGAATAATATTTCATCGTATGTATGCCCTGCATTTTCCTTATCTGTTCATCTGCCAGTGGACACGTAGGCCATTTCCATGTCTTGGCTGTTGTGTGTGACGCTGCAGTGACAGGGAGTGCAGATAGCTCTTCGAGGAACTGATTTCATTTCTCCTGGAGATATGCCCAGAAGTGAGATTGCTGGATCATATGGTAGCTCTATTTTTAACATTTAGAGGAACCTCCAAACTGTTTGCCACCGTGGCTGCATCAGTTTACAATCCCATCAACAGCGATCTCAGGTGTTTCCACATGGGAAATAAAAGGTAACTACGTCAGCAGGCAGGTATGTTAACCAGCCTGACTGGGGTGACCACTCACAATGTGTGTGTATGTCAAAGCACCATGATGTATACTTTAAATAAATACAATTTTTATTTTAAAAAATAGAGCAAATTTGGATGGAGAGCAAACAAGAGTGGCTGTGGGGTCATAGCCAGCACCCACAGAAGTGTCCCACGCTGACTGGAGGCCACGGGCCCCGTGGGTTCTGGATTTCATGGCCAACGAAGTGAAGGGGTGCAGTTTGGGGTGGGGCAGGGAGACATACAAGCTGGGAGGACACTGGCCATGGTGTGGATGCTGACAGTCTCGATGTGGTGATGGCTGCACAGATACTTATGTACAAACTTAGCAGGCTATCCACCTCGATGAAGCTGTGAACACAACACAATCGGGA